ACATGAGGAAGTGTATATGGATCTGCCTCCTGGATTCATGCTTCCTGCTTTTTCGACCAACGAAGTCTGCACTTCTTCGACCAACAAATTTTGCACCCCTTCGACCAACAAAGTTTGCACTCCTTCGACCAACAAAGTTTTCACTTCTTCGACCAACAAAGTTTGCACTTCTTCTGCTTCTTCGACCAACGAAGTTTGCACTTCTTCGACCAACGAAGTTTGCACTCCTTCGACCAACGAAGTTAGCACTTCTTCGACCAACGAAGTTTGCACTTCTTCGACCAACAAAGTTTGCAAGTTGCATAAGTCACTATATGGCCTGAAGCAGGCTAGCAGACAGTGGTTTTCAAAATTGTCCACTGCCCTTATCTCTCTTGGCTACTCATATTCTTCTGCTGATCATTCTTTTTTCATAAAATCACATGACTCTTCTTTTACTGTTTTATTAGTCTATGTTGATGATATTGTCTTAGCCGGTAATGATTTGCAGGAAATCAAATATGTTAAATGCTTCCTTGATTCCACTTTTAAAATCAAGGACCTTGGTAGGCTAAAATATTTTCTTGGTCTAGAAGTTGCCAGATCCACTCACGGCATTTTTCTCAATCAGAGAAAGTACGCTTTAGAATTGCTCGAAGACAGTGGCTTATTGGCTACAAAACCTTGCTCTACTCCCTTCGATTCCTCCTTGAAGCTTCATGATGATAACTCATCACCTTTCAAAGACGTCACAGCTTATCGAAGGCTTGTTGGAAAACTTCTATATCTGACTACCACCAGACCTGACCTTGCATTCATCGTTCAACAGCTCAGCCAATTCATCTCACATCCTATGCAAGTTCATCATTCTGCAACAATTCGAGTACTCAAGTATCTCAAAGGTGCTCCTGCCAAGGGTTTGTTCTATTCATCTTCCTCTCCACTCAAACTCTCTGGCTTCGCAGACTCAGATTGGGCAAGTTGCCCAGCTACCCGCAGATCTGTAACTGGATATTGTGTGTTCCTTGGCAATTCCCTCATATCTTGGAAATCCAAAAAGCAATCTACAGTATCCAAATCAAGTTCAGAAGCAGAATACAGGGCCTTGGCAAGCTTGACTTGTGAATTGCAATAGTTGCAGTATTTGTTCAAGGATCTCCACATCTCCTTTGATCAACCTAGCTCAGTCTATTGTGACAACAAAAGTGTTATCTACCTTGCTCACAACCCCACCTTCCATGAACGGACAAAACATATCGAAATTGACTGCCACGTCATTCATGAGAAAATCCAAACTGGTCTCATCCACCTTTTACCAGTTTCTTCTGCTGTTCAATTGGCAGATGTTCTCACCAAGCCTTTGGCAGCTCCCTCTTTCGATTCTCTTGTTTCCAAGCTTGGTCTATTAGACATCCATAGTCCAGCTTGTGGGGGGCTATTACATGATAAAAATAATTTTGTTTAGTTTGTTGCTAAACAGTTAGTTAGTTTGTTACAGTTAGTTAGTTTGTTACAGTTTGTTACTTAAACAGTATATATAATACTGTTTTGTAAATTCCAAAATAAGAAATATACTATGAGTTTATTCTAAAATTAACAGTCTTAATTGATATTTGGAATCATCTACTATCTTTTTGTATTATGCTTATGTATGTCATCTTAAATTGATGTCATTTTGTATAATGGATATGAATATCATTTTAAAAAAGTTTATGTTAATGACAATTATGTGTTATGTTGAAATTCTGTTTATTACAAGTTTATGTGTTAATGCATTAATTGATCACCATTACAATATTTCATTACAACATTATAACATTTCAACATTTGAAACATTACAACATTTCATTACAACTTAACATAAAACAATACAATATTTCATTACAACTTAACATGGAAGAATACAATATTTCATTACAAAATGATCAATATTACAATATTTTATTACAACTGAACTGATATTTGGAATACTATAATATTTCATTACAACTTAAAACCAGATCTAAATTATTACACTGCAACTTAAACATTACAATTCATCATAAACCATATCAGAATTGTTGCACCTAAAATAACAAACATAATACAATATAATTTGCCTTTTGTCATCTTGAGCTTCTTCATAAAATCATTCAAAAAACTCACACTCAGGTTGCCTTGTTCCTTGCAATTTATGATGTATTACTCAAACAGTAACAATAGAGATAAAAAAACTTGTACATTTCACAAATATACCTTAAAATGAGTACAACCCCAAAAATGTTTTCGATAACTCTTTGCCGTTGAAGACCTGCGAAGAATAGCCAAATCTCCACAGTGACAAGTTGGTTTCCATGTGAGATTGGAACTCGTGAACACATTAAAGTTCATACTTTCTTGACTTTTATGGTTCATGGGGGACGAAGCATAACCTAATGCCATTGATGTTGAACCCTATTCTTCAATTTGGGCAAAAAATTCTTAACCCTGATACGATGAAAGAAAATAATTTGGTGATATAGACAAGGAGAAATAAATGAGACAAATTATATCATCTGTCACATATGTAGACACAAACGTCTGTTTACAGTAAATGGACGGAAATGACCTATGTGCTTTGTTTTTAAGACTTAAAAGATTATTTTATACTTTTTAAAAGATAAGAGACAAAAATAGACCCCGAGACAAAATTAAAAAACGAAAAAGAATATTTTCTCAAAAAAAAAACAAATGCGACCACAAATACATTAAAAAAAAATCATATGATACATGAAAATAAATGAGACCATGTTAACACTGCAAAGAGGACAAAAAAATATCTTACACGTTACTTGACTTCTTCAATTAATCTACAATTGATTGAGCTACGAAAGCAGTAGAATCTTGATTGAATTTGGATTCAATTGAAGCTTGAATTCGATTGAATTTGGATTCAATTGAAGCTTGAATTCGATTGAAGGAAAAAAGAGAAAAAGAATTAGAATTGATAGTATGTTTCCTAAGCTCAATTATGCATTTCAAATATAATATATCCTAAATCAATAAAAACCCAAACATTTAAATTGTGCTGATTACTTTTCTAATAAAAAAAAGTTATTTTAAATAAAAAAGACATTGAGGAGGAAAAAGAATGGTGCCTTTCTCTCTACCTCTCTCCAATATTCCCCTCATTAATTATCATATTTTTTAATTTAAATCACCTAAAAATACAAGCACCGTGCCTTTTAGTACATGTTTTACCGGTATCATTACTTAATCTGTTCTGGCATTTAACCATGAATAAACGTCAAATACAATTTTTAAAAGCTCAAAAACAACATTAAAAGTAAGTGCACCCTTCTCTCCCTCAGTTATAAATCAATTATGTTAGTTATTTTGAAAAGCAGAATATATCAAATTTAGAGATATTTATTATTATCGAGAGAAATCCATAGATAGCCCGCAATAAATACAATCTAACATATTCTGGGAGCTTTTTAAATCATCTGTAAATTGCAAATACCAATCGGAAACGGAATAGATGCGTTACAAAAGCTTATACCAACTTCACCAAACTAGCACAGATTAAAAAACTTAAAACACTAGGGCCAAGATATAAATTTTCGCCAATCACAATTAAGTCCCAAATTCCATAGATTTCCCATATGACCAAGTACCCCAACTTATATAACAATATAATAACACCAACAAAATGCATAGGAAGCTTGGGTCATATATGATGAAATTGAGCATAACATCATCTAAGCGCACGAAATTTCAAGGTACCAATTCTTAAATCTTGTCAAGCTTCTCAGCCTTGACAACTGGGTTTGCTTTAGCTATGGCATCCCGCGCAGCAGTACGATAATCAAACTGGCAATCATGCTTGTCTGAGTAGCGATGCACAGCACAGAAAAGGTTACCACATCGACAATTGAACCCTGTCAAACCAACTCGCTTATTGCAGTTGCTGCAACGCTTCGGACCATCCTTTGGCTTTGCATCACCATTCTCCTCTGAAGCTGAGCCAAATAAAAATGGCTTGGAGATAGTTTTTGGTTCCACTGAAACGGCTGGGATATCAATGTTGGCAGCAACAACAGGTTCTTTTTCAGTTTTACTTGTAGACCCATTCATAATACTTCCAAGGGATGATGCAGCCAGCTGGGCCTGCTCCTGTTTCAGCATCATATCTTTGTGGCACTTGGAACACATGTTCATAGTGGCTGCACTTCCAAAAAATCCACAGTTGTTAACGCACAATATAGGACCTTCGGGGGGAGCTTGACATTCGGTCTTTTCATGATCCATTTTTTCAACTTTCCTGCACCAAGGAGCCAAAGATTAAATTATCACTAATATAATCTGTATAAAATGACATAAATAAGGGATGGGGTGAGAGGGGAACTCAAATCACACTACAAACACTTAACTGATACACAGTTGAAGAGCCAAACATAAAAACCCAAAAAACCAGCCCAACCAACTCATTATTTTTAAGCAAACTAAAACAATGGTAAATTAAAAAAAGACTAACCAAAAAGATGCATTGATTCCCATAACTAAGACAAGAGACACAGGAAAACAAAGGGCCTAAGAGAAAACAGAGCATGTCTCTAGAAGCATAAAATGACAGCTCTGCAGGAAATATGAAGCAGTAAAAACTTCACAAATTCCATTTCGCAGCTGAAAACAAATTTTGGTTGCACCAGGTTGAGACTTCAAAAAGGCAGAGGGTAATGAACTGAATATCACTAGGGTCTCTGCCCTGTGAGAATGGAATTCCAATATGAGGATAATGGAAATATGTTTCCATGACAAGGGTTTCAATTTTCAACCCATAAATCCGTCCAAAAACTTAAAAACATGTACACAATCCACAAACAAGGGAGTTTGTGAATAACAGACAACTGTACAAGTAAGCATGTCACAGCTGAGAACAAAATTAGGTTCCTGCATGTTGAGAATTTAAGAAGGCGGAGGGTGACGACTGAATATCACAAGGGTCTCTGCTGCTTGAGAATGGAATTACAAGATGAAGAGGATGATGCAGGACAAGGGTTTCATTTTCCTACCCATAAATCCAAAAACATAAAAACAAGGTCATGTGTCCGACCCACAAGTGAGATTGTGAATAATGGACAACTACATGAGGAAGCACGGCAATGTTGGGAGGTCTTATTTTCTTTTTTCGCCTTTGCCCCAAATAGGGATAGCAGAAGGTGAAAAAGATAATAAGATTGCATTATACTATAATTCAACTTGCTATTTTGCCTGTCATGCTTAGGAAAGGACATATATGCAGTCAATGAAACCAACACATAATTGTCTTGCTTCTTTTAGAACTCACATATGCAATGATGCATACAATATACAGACGCCCAGATTTCAAAATGTGATTGTAGACAAAAAGGGTGAATACTCCAGAAACAGACATATCAGTGTGTCAACTTCCAAAAATGAATACAAAAAGGATTATGATAGGTATAATTTAAATGACCAAAATGGCAACATGAACATAAATTATTGACTTGGTTTTAGAGTATTTGAAATAGTTCCACTATGCAATCCCTGTCTTTGGAAGAAAAAGTTAAGACACAAACAAAATTGGCATGCATTACATAAAAAGATGACAAATATACAATTGGTCTTGCTTACTAATTCCCTTTCGTTATGAATACAGGAATTAAGATAATTGCAGAAACCAGAATTGTATTAAATAACAGAGAACCCCCCAGTTTTTCTGTTTCAGATAGCTTTTTATTTTCTAGTGCACACATTATTACATCATTTCAACAAGTACTCAGTGCCTGTTTACCCAAGGGTATCAAAAAATCCACCTTCCCTGAAAACATACAATTTGAAATAGCCACATCCTTTTCTCAAGATTGTTAAGAAACTTACATGAAAACCTTCATGATCAAAAGTAATTACCACAAAACAAATGCATTTGACAACAAGATTGAACGAAATGTTGAAAACTAGCATCATATCATCTACCTATTGACCTCTCCTATAATGAAACTAAAGAAAAATAAAGAGAACCCCATGAAGCAGAGCCCTGAGCATTCAAAACACAATTTATAAAACAACTCCAAAATCCGTGGCCACAACAGTAACAAACACCAACTAAACAATATAACAACATCAAACAATTGAGCTCACCACTGCAAATTTCAACGAATTCAACAAAAACTCAACAACACACCACCCCGGCTTCGAGAAAAAGAACAGACCACGCAGGCTACACAACTCTATTCAATGTCCATAACTGCAAACGACACTTCCAATTTCCACCAAATTATAACTCAGATTCCTTCACATATAACACCACAATCAAAACCAAACAAAACCACAACAAACAAATCAACATAACACATATAAAAAAAAAACGAAAACTTGAAAACTCGAAAACTTCAAAACAAAATGATAATCTAACCTTCTGGCCACGAAAAAAAATTTCGAAAAAACTTTTGTTCAAAAAAAATCCAGGAAACGAAACCTTGAGACGGATCTACAAGCTTCGAATCGCACCGATCATGAATCCTGGATTTATCGAAGAAAAAATAAAACGTGCATGGATGATTAATAATTGAAAGAAATATAAGAGATTAGCGATGGAATAAAAGATCGAAAAATTGAAAAGGGTAAAGAAACCCTAACCCTAGGAGAATTGGGATGAAGGAGGAGAGAGAAACCAAAGGCGATAGAGAGAGAGAGAGAAAGAGATGCGTCGTTTGTGTGTGTGTCAGTGTTCCGTATTTAAAATGACCTTTTACTGCTTCTCTTTCTGACAACGAAGTATGTTTACTGAATTGAGGCGACGTGGGAAGTTATCATTGGTAGCGCGTGTTACTTTTATTTCCTTATTTTGTCCCTTTCTTGTTTATGTAAGAATTTTTTTTTAGTCGAAAGATCTTGGAATATTTAAGTTTTGATTCTCTATTTTAAATTATAAAATTTATTAAGTAAAAATTTAAATATACTTTATTTAAATTTAAGTTTAACCATGTTTGACATTTATTTATACCTATAGAATATGATATCACATTTAAATTTTAATTTAAATATAATGTTTTTATTGAATATTTGTTTTGATTATACTCGATGAACATTTATTTTCTCATTTTCGTTAGTGTTTATATATTTTTTTGACAAATTTAAAATATATTTTAAATATAAAAATATATTTTTTAATTTATCAAAGTATAAAAAGAAATTTAAAATTGTATTTTTAAAAACGGTTATATTTGAAAAATCAAAAACAAATGTGAAAAATTATATAAATTAACATCAATCATTGTTAAGACATATAATAAAAACGTAAAATTACATAGATAATTGTTAACGTAGATATAACATTGTTATTTCATCATCAAGTGATGGTTGAGGACGTTTCAACATCTTTAGAATATTTTTGGTTGTTCTTGCAATCCTCGCATCCACTTCGATCAGATTGTCTGAGTAGCGCAACAGATTCTCTAGTGTGAATTTTAGATTGACAAGACAGGTGATCTTTTTTAACCTAAATTTAAGATGAGGTTTCTCCTTGTTGAAGTTGACAAAAGTGAGATATGAGTATTGAGACATTTTGTGTGTGTTTGTGATAACAAGATAGGAGAAGTCATATTTATATTAGTTTTAGATCAATATGAACCTTTGAAACTCAATCTTGTTTGTTGTACCCCAAAATTTTTCCTCTCATTTATCAAATATTTTCTCACAAAGATCTATCTTGGTTCAAGACTGCACTAGGGTTGATCAGCTCAAGACACCTCCTTAAGTACTGATGATCAAAATTAGGGTTTGAGATTACACAAGGATATTTGAAATTTCAATGCTTCATATGACTTTCATGGATCATTATGGACCCCCAAGATTACTCATGTCAAGTTTCAAACTTTGGATCATACTTTTGCTCAGTCAATTGAGCAGTTGACCTAAAATCAGCTATATTGGGAAAAAGTCAACTATGGCCAATTTACAGTCAAACCTCGTGATTTTTGATCCATATCAATATTATAAACTCATATGTATCATTTGATCAAGTTTGGACCACAATTCCTCAAGAAATTTGATCAAATCACCAAAAGGGCAAAATGGTCAAAATTAGGGTTTTGATTGAAAGAGGGCAATTTCTGATTTTTGACCTAGCAAATGGTCAACTGGTTTGAAGCGTGATTCCAAGAGCTCAATTGCATCATTTTGACCTAATGGCATGACCTAAAACATTGCTCAAGATCAATTGGATTGATAGTGAATTTCCAGTCAACTGATCAAAAGTCAATTGTACACTAAAAAGTCAAACTTTGACTTTTTGGTCAAAATTCAATGTCAAAGATCACAATTCATCAAAACATGTTAAAATATGAAACTTATTCATCAATAAATCAAAAAGTCAAGATTTCATTTTGAAAAGTCAAAGTTTTATAACAGAAATTTTTTTAAGTGTTTAAAATTTCATGTTTTTTCATAACTTTAAGCCAATTTTTCACCATGATGCAAGAGGATTCAGAAGAAACTTTCAACATGAAAGTTGTAGATATCCATGATATTTACAATATTGCCTTACACAAATTCTTCTAAAAATGCTTGGATCTCAAGTTATTAATTCATAAAGTCATGGTCTTGAAATTAAACACTTAGTGAAATTTTGCCCTAGTTTGGTCAGGATTTTGACCTAACTTCATGGCACTTTTTCATATAGTTTAAAGGGGAATTTTCAAAAGTTATTCAAAGAGGGGTTGTAGAGAACATTGCAAGCTTTCCAAAATGTCCAAGAACTCCTTGAGATCATTCTTGAGCAGGGAGAATTGAAGAGATGAAGTTAGGATTTTCACACTTGAAATACAAGTCATTTTATGATGAACAAGATTCAAATTTCAAACCTATGCTGCATAATCTCTACTTTACAGGCCTCAAACTTGTTAGGCACTCCATAATTAATTGCTTTCACGGCTGTTAGAGGTCTCAATTCAAATATTCAGTGCAAGGTCATGCTTTATATCTATTTTGGGAAGAAAGTGCACAGTGTCATTTTGATAAAGTAGCTTTATGCACAAAACTTGTTCTTGAGCCTTGCAATTTCTTTATTATGATCATACATGTCCCATAACTCAAGAGAATCTTGTCTAAACACTTACAATCACTCAGCCCATGCTTGTACTTCCTCTTGAAACTTGTTTTCCCACTTTTATTCAAAATTAAGTAACATAGCAATCAGCCTATAACTTGTACTTCTGACTCTCTCAAGCACTAAGACATTTTTCTTATACATACACAAGTTATTTGCCATAAATCCCATGCATGCTTGAGCCCTGAAAACACCAAAAACACAGATTTACATCTCACACTTCCATTATTGCAGATTCTGGCCAAAAATCCAAAAACCAAAAACTACTCGTGCGTTTATTGGCTTCTTGCTTCCAAAAGCTTCTAAACATCATTTAGAAGTCATCTATTCCCCTGTTACAGTTCTGTAACACCATCTTCCTCCATTTCCAAGTTCAAAAACAGGGCACTGTAAGTGGACTTCTCCAGACCATTTCAACCACTCTCCAACCAAGCTAATCATTGCATTAGCTTCCTGAGACCTCAGTGGAGCTTTTCTGATCATCACACCACCTTGAGGAGTGCTCATTTGCAGAACACGATTTCCAGTTTTGAGGTAAGTTATCTCAACTTTGAAATCTTCATACAAGCATCATTAATGGTTTATTTGTGAATGAAAAATGTAGATATCATTGCTCCAAAGCTAACCATGTCCATAGTTTTCATTTATGTTGCTTGAGCTTAGAGAATTTTAAGATTGAAGTTTCTGAAATTTTTAGGGTTCAGATTAGGGCCATTAAAATCCATGATTGTTTTTTATCTATAATTTTATTGCTTTACATTTCTGAAATCGTGAGGAAATTTGCCACAAGATTCATGTTTATATTTTTGTAAATGGATGAGAGATAAACAAGATGCAGGTACTCTGATTGGGCGTGAGGTTGAAGATGAAGTTCAGGACATAGACTTGATTTCTAATATATATTTATTGTTTTGTTTATATGAATGGATGTATAGCCACCCCAGTGGTAAAGCGTGCGTCTGTTAACCTTTGGGACCTGGGTTCGAGCCCTAGTGGTACCCTTTTGCTTATTTTTTTCATATTTTCTCATTTTTGACACTTGTATGCAGCACTAGGCCTCCCCCCTTTGGGCTTTATATTTTTGCTACATTCTGACCCCCTGCTCACTATTCACACCTGGCCCATTTTATTTTATTTTCTCATTTTTATTTATTTGTTTTCTCAAATATTTTATTTAATATAAAAAAATCAGAAAATAATATAAAAACATTAGATTTATATTTTGATATAGTTTATTTATTTTTACAATAAAAATTGCTTTTATTTTAATCATATTTTATTTATTTCACTTATTAATCTACAAATTTAATTAGAAACTAGGTTTTTTTAGTTATTTTCTTTTACACAATTAAAATATATTATTTTAAAATATAAAAAGACCAAAAATATTTTATAATACCATAAATTATTTTCAAGACAAAAATACCAAAAATATTCTTCTTACAAACTTAATTTCTTTTTTTAATCAATTAATATTTAGATTAAGATTTTATTTAATTTCTTTTCCTAGTAAATTTAGGTTTACTTTTTACTAATTTAATTAATTATTTTCTTTTAGTTAATTAGGTTAAAACAAAACCCTTTTTCCTAAATAAAAATCCAAACAAAAATCCATTTTTTTTCCATTTTACATTCTTGTATATTTATTCATTTTTGTACATTATTTATCCAAATTCAATATGGTTGTAATAGATTATTTAGATTTAAATTATTGCAATCCTCATTTGTAATTTGTACACCCCCATCCCACAAGTGTTGTAATAGCGTAGTAATTTTAAATTTCGCAATTTATCGCTTTATATACAAATGCTAGTAATTAGGGTTTTGAATGGAAAGACTAAAACCAATCAATTAGAAAGCCCTAATCAAAGATAAAACCAAGCATGAAAAACAATACACTTGCACACAAGCACCCCTAGGGTAAAATCCACTTGGTTTCCTTACAAAATGGCCATGTTATGCATGTGAGGTATCTTAGTAAAAAACAAACGAATACAAGATCATAGTCCCTCGATGACGTTATCCATGTTGTATTTCAAATGATCTTAGTCCCTAAAGAAGAATTCTAAGATACCTTGCAACATTGCTAATCATGGTTATACGATGACCCACGCCTGTCCTATTCACATCCAAAGATAGGGTTACTTACCAAATCAAATGGTAAGACAACAATGTCAAAGGAAAGGGGAAATGAACATGAAAGACTTTTGAGTAGATAGATTGTTCCTAGTTACTTGCTCACTTTCAAAATAACACATCCTTGCTATTTTTTAAAAACAAACACCAAACGCTTTCCAAAACATCTTTCAAACTTGAAAACATTTTAGAAAGATCAACACTTTGTATACATTCTTACGAACGAGAATCATTACAAGGTTTTCTTAAACAATGGCGCCTTTTCAGAATACTTTCAAAAAAACACACAAAGCATAATTTCAAACAAAGAAGCAAGTGATCTAGTAAGTAACTAAGAGCCCATGGAAAACCATGGATGAAAAGGGTGCTAATACCTTCCCTTTTCATAATCTCCCCCCCGAACTCAAGAAACAATCTCAAAGGTCTTTCCTGTGCTTTTTCACCTTTCCTTTTGGATAAAAGAAAAGTCGGTGGCGACTCTTGCTAACCACAACATTTGCGAGAAAACGCAAAACACCCAAGTCAGTTCTCCCACCGTATCATAAAACTGGCGACTCTGTTGGGGAAAATGCTAAAAGTGGGGTTACCTTAGGGTTAGATCACATTTACTTGCTTTCTTTGTTTGACTTGTATGCTTTACATTATGGTTCTTTGTTTGGGTTTGAATCCTCTACCCGGATTTGGGATACCTTATAGGTAAGTAGCAATACATTGTGGAAACTGCGTGGGGTATACTGACATGGTCTAAGCAATAGCTACGTTAGTGCGACATATTTGTGGGTACCGGTAGCCCTTGAGTAGTCAAGGAGAATACGGGGCCGCTGTTTACCTGGGTATTTGGTAAACAACCGCTGATCCTCCAAATGGTTACTTATTTGGTTACTCGCAGGATCGATCAGATTGATCCTATGGACATAGGTTGATTTTGAAGTTTAATTAGTGTGGATAAGGCTTTAAGTAAATTGGTTAAAGTAAATTGCATAAAGGAAAAGGCTTGGTAAAATAAACAAGGCTGGAATGTAAAGGTTCGACAGGAATCTTAAAGGGAAAAGCATGTAAAATACTGAAAAAGTAAATGACTTGAATTGATTAAATTGGTGTTTCACACATACATTTCTCAACAATTCGTTCGCTCACACTGGGTACTTGAATCTAAATGAGTGACTATGTATCTATTGTGAACACACGCGAGAAACTACACGTCTACTCCTATTTATACAAAAACATTCCAAGTAACCGTCGGGCAGTTACACTGCTTCGAGATCAAGCCACTTGTCACGTTCTCCATGCTCGACGCTCCAGATCCTTGCACGTTCGCACG